CTTTGAGAAGAAAGAAGAATTAGAAGGAAAAAGAGGTTCTGAGGTATGAGCTGAGCCCTGGCTAGACTATATCTTTAAATATACTGTGCCGTATATAAGATATAGTAGCCAATATTAGTGTGATAACCAAAATTGGGTATCTTTAAGAGATAGCTGGCTTTTAGTTTAATTACCTTGTTAAATAGCTTGGTTTTGTATTAGCATTATATATTTGATAAAATTTTAGTATGCAGTTATCAAAGGAAAAAAATATTTAAATATAATAACTTGCTATTTTTTATACTTAGTTTTCAAGAGATATAAGGCAAAAGCTTAACACAAAATTATAAAAACAAAATTGGCAATATAATACAATATTTTAAATAAAAAATCTAAAAACTTCAATTACTTTAAAATTTATAGAAAATAAAAATCATAAGATATTCTAAATTTGTTGCTAATACTTACTATTCTTGGTGTATTATTTTTGTGCAAGAGATAATTTAAGAAATTTATTTTAATTGTGCTATCAGTTTATGCATTATCTTTAGTACTCTCCAATAAGCTAGCTCGATAAGTCTTGCTAAAAATCGCCATTGGCTCATTAAGACTTATTTAGTTTTTATACTATATAATATATAAAAATATTATTTATTTGTATAGTTTATATTATAAACTATACAAATAAGTGATATTTTTATATATTATATAGTATAAAAACTAAATAAGGCTGAATGAGCTAATAGCAATTTTTAGCAAGGCTCATCAAGCCGGCTCATTGGAGAGCACTAATTATCTCTATATAGAGAAATTGAAGTTTTTAAATTTTATGTATCATATGAAGTACATTAAAATGGTCTAACTGGTTGCTTGAAATCTAAAACTAATCTAAAGCTCCAGGAAACTCATATAATCTACTAATATAATACCTAAAATAGTTGAATAGACGTATAAGGCTCCTAAGACCTTGGATTGAAAAGCTTCGAATAGAGGTGTGTTTGACTTGGTCTGAGTTTTTAAGTCTTTCGGGTCTTGAAATATTGTGTATGACTTTGGAAAAGTCTTCTGTATCCTTTTTACTATGTAATGTTTGATTATGTTGATATCTCTAACTCTTAATCCTTCTATTTCTTGACTTTAGAACCTCTTCAGTCTTTTCGGTCATATGTTATATCACTTGGATAGCTGCAGTAATTGGAAGTTTAAAGTTTAATTCAGCTTAGATCTAAATCTATGGGAATTGGATCTTCAATTAGCTGGTAATGTCATAAGAGGCTGATATCATAGGAATTTAATTGATCGACACAATAATAATACTTGATCACTAATTTGATTGTTTTACGAATTAGTGATAACAATGCATCACGGAAAAGGTCAGTATTTCATATATAAAGATATTCAATACGAATTTGGGTACTTGTATTTTAATAATCAATTTAGCACTTTAGGTATTATCAGGTTACAGGTAATTAGGTTCAATGATCTTAGTATAGTGATTTTGGATCAGAAAGAAGAAGTATTTTTTGAGAACCAACTTCTACTATAAGAACTTCGAAGTTAAAGTATTATAAAACTCCGTAAAGTTCTTTTTTATTTAGCAGTAAGCAAGAGCTCTTATATAGACAAAAATTACATGCTAAGAAAAGATAAAATAAATTAATTTTATCTTTTGTATCCTTTTTATCTTTTGTATTTATTTTATCATTTTTATTATTTTTGTCTTTTTTATCTATGTCCCACCTTCTATTACTACAAATAGCAATTATTGCCAAAAATAGAAAAAATATAATATAAAAAATAAAAATAGAAATAACACAGCCCAATTTTAGAGTGGTGCTGCGCCTTGGTTGCTCATCACAACTCTCCTCCACCAAAAAGAGCTTGTAGCACAAGCTTATTGTTGGTCAGGTTATTAAATTGGCCAGCAGTTAGAACAGCAATTTTGAAGAGGTGGGTGTATTAAGTTTTATATATTTGTTCGACCCCATAGGGTTCAAACAAATAATAGGTTTGAGTGGTAGCCCAAAGGAAGTAGTTGCCATACTCCCTTTATACAGCAGATTTTTTGATTGGAGTAGTATAAGAAAACTGGGCACCAAAATAAAAAGTGTAGGCTAGGATGTTAGTTCTTCTTCCAAGACTTCTGACATATTTCATTTCATCATGAGCAAGAGCCAATTGGGTCACAATGCCTTGGTTTTCATTAAAGGGGCAAGGGGTGAAAACTATCAAGGCCGGTTCAGTATACAGAAAGTCTTGTTAGATTTGAGTCTTATTATCTATTGTAGTTTTAATTCCAAATTTTTTTATTTTTCTTTCGTGTTGAAATGTTTTTTCTGGAGGCTTTTCCTCTGCCTTTATAGAGTTTTTCTTTTTTTCTTTGTTTATCTCTTCTTTCTTCTTTCTTTTCTTTCTTTTTCGCTTCTTTCATTCTTTGTTTTTTTTTTTTTTTTATATGTTATGTTTTAATGTCTACAGTATCTCAGTATTGACCTTCTCTAGTTGCTTTGTTCGAAATAGGGCTTGAGTAAGGCTTTGTTTAAGAACGTCGCTAGTACTGTCCCATTTAGTTCCCTTAGCTTATAAGTGCCATTTGGAAGAGTATCATAAATATAGTACGGCCCTTTCCATTTGGGCGTCAGTTTATAGCTATATGTGCCCAATTTCCTGGCATCTAGCATGAGAATTTTTCCCCAATACTAAAGTTCTTGTTGCTTTGGTATATAGATCATGTCACTTCTTCTGCCTTTGCTGGGCCTTGTTGATCTGATCGATTGCGTTCTCATGTACTTTGGGTAGATCATTGTTGATCTCATATAAGTATTGTATAATAGTCCCATTCAATAGGTCTTCAGTTGCATTAAGATATAAGAGTAGCTGGGCTGATCTACTATATACCAAGTAAAAGGGTGTTTTGTGGGTTGTGGCTTGCTTGCTGTACAATATGCGAAGAGTATTGATGAAATTACTAAGTCCCAATCAGTCATATTCATTACCAATTATGCAATGAAGTTGCATAGGGTCTTGCTAAAATGCTCAACAAGCCCATTTGTCTGCGGGTGATAGAGGGTGAAGCAGTGATGCTTAGTGCTTATAGCTGCAAGTAATTTATCTACAATGTGGTTATTGAAGTGCAACTCTTGGTTTGTTAGTATTATATTAGGGCTGCCATGTCTACATATTATATTATTATAGATAAACTTGGTCACTTCTTGCATATTAGTCTTTGGAATTGTGCGAGTCTTAGGTTATTTAGTCATATAGTCGGTTGCAACAACTATATATTTGTTAAAGCGAAACATTATTAATAAGGGACCGACTATATTAAGGCCTACTCTATGGAATGGGGCTTTTACAGGTATGGGATGAAGTAGTTCTTTTGATTTCTTGCTCCTGTATAGTTGGCAGTTTTCGCAATTTTTGACATATTCTTATATATCATTGTATATTTGTAGCCAATAGTAGCAGCTGCGAATTTGTTGAACATAGCATCTTTCCTGAAATGAGCTCCCGTGGGGTAGTCGTGAGCTAATATTAGTATTGTCTCTAACTCTTCTTCTCGTAATACCTTTTGTAAGTTTTTACTCTTTGAGTTTGGGTTTTTTTTGTACAGGTTTCTATTTATAATCCAGAAGAACCTGCTTTGCTTCTTTAGCTGCTTTTGCTGCTGCATGTCATAGTGTTGCGGATATTGTTGATAATGTAAGTAAGTTTTTAATACCACATATAGTTGGGGCTCCATTTTTGTTGACTTTGAATAGTCAATATTCAGTCTTTTTCAGTTTCGAAACATGCCAGGATATCGACAACCTGGTTTGGATTGAGCTTTACGTCGGGTTTTTAGCTTAACAGTACATTATGGTATCTTTGGGTAAGTGGTATTTTCTAATTTCTTTGCTATGTATCTTGCTTGGTCAAGTTTCTTAGCATGTTGATGGGTTTTTTTAACTCTTCCAGTATTTGTTTTCGTTGTTCTTTAATCCTCTTTTGAATTACTTTCAATAATTTGGTCCTATAGGTTGATTTAATTTTCTCTAAGCTTTCATTTTCAATTGCCTAATACAATTTCGATAAAGTCTTCGATATGTAACCTTCTCAGTTTCGTTTTAATAGTAATATCAATTGTTGTTGCTCATAGTGTAGTATCTTTCAATTCTGCCAGAAGTGGCTTCATTGATATATAATCTATTTCAACTCCAATTCTATTTTGATAGCAATATCCAATATTGTATTACTGTAATGAATTACTAGCGTGTTTTTGGATCTCTTTTCGTATAAGAGTCAATTGACCCTATCTGTGGTTTTCGGTTCTTGACTTTTAGATCAGCTAGTAGATTGTGTAAATTTTCTTTGGGTAGCTTTTGAATCCCTTGTTTGGTGATATTTTTGCTATAGTATTTTTCTTTGATTACTTAGTCAATTTTCTTGACCAATTTTCAAAAGTAGGTTCGCATCCTTTGTACTAAGTTATTTTTCTGGATAAAGGTTAGATTTCTGAACTTTCAACTCTTCGTTTTGGTGGTTTGAACTAATTTTAATTGGTTAGTAACCTTTTTGTTCCTGTGATAGCTTGCCAATTCTTTTAAATTGGGCTTTAATATTCTTGCTGTATAAGTGGTTTATAGGTTTTCTTTTGAATGGGGCTCTACAACTTGCCTTATTCCATCCTAACCATCCTCACTCTAATGTCAGGTTTGTTAGAGTGAGCTAAAGAAAAATCACATAGATTGTCCCTAATGTTTATACAATTTTGTAAACTCATGGGTCTGCAAAATCATATATTGAATGTTGAGTTACTGAATTAAATGATTCTTTGAAGAAGACTAAAAAAAAAATGAGTATAAGATGTCTAAGTTTTTTTTTCAAAGTTTTCTTTTTTTTAAAAGTTTTTTTTTTCTCTTTTTTTTTTTAAAAGTTTTTTTTTCTTTTTTTTTTTTTTTTCTTTTTTTTTTTTTTGAAGTTTTTTTTTTTTCCAGCAGTCTTAATTAATTCTTTGGTAGAGATATTTTCATGGATTAATCCTACTGTGAATCATTATAGTCCCAATCAATATAACTATTGAACTCTAGAAACCATTCTGGGTCTTCTAGGTTAGTGGCTAATTCAATAAATTCCACCAACAATGGTTGGAGCCGAGTTGAAGGTTATAGTAACCATAGCCAGTATTCTCATACTTTTCATCACTGCTATCCTCAAATTCTAGCTTTTTGGTTGTTTCTCCCCATTGGAGTATGTCAATTAGGTAGGTTTTATTTAGGTCCATGGGTTGAGGTATATTTTCGGGTTAATAAATAGTATCATTATGTTGGTACCTATTTCTAATTGACCAGACTATATCTATTCCAAGTTTTAAGGCTAATTCAGTTAAGAGGCTTTGAATATATCTTTCGTGCTCTGTTTTTTGGGTGGTAAGTTCTTCATATTCTTCATACTTCTGTCAGCATTAGTGCTTTCTGTTTCTTCACCATTATCTTCCTATTTACTTCATTCGTAAGTATTATCTCAAAGAATTATTTCTATTTCTTCGTCTGATCCTTCAGGGAAGTATTCTTGAGCAATTGCTCTAAATACTTCTACTTCTTTGACGATTTTGGCTTCTTGTACCTTAGAGGTTTTTTGGGTAGGTTTATTATAACCTTTAATATTTCTCAAGTCTGCTGCTTTTTGACAATGGCTAGTTGCCTTTTTTGTTCTTTTTTATTCTTTGGAGGTTCCTCAACTATCCTTGACAATGCATCAGCATTCTTATAGATTCATCCTGGTCTATTCACTATAGTAAAGTGGTAAAGTTGAAGGCAAATAATTCATTAGGCTCTTCTTCTCTTCAAGGCCATATTATGAAGCCATTTTAGGGTGGAATGGTCTGTAATGACTATGAAGGGCTTATATCCAAGGTAGTGGTGGAAATACTTAATGGCCCACACCACAGTATAGCATTCCAGCTCTGTGGCTGTATAGTTTTTTTTGGGTTGAGTAAGGCCTTTACTTGCATACACAATTGCGTATTTCTTCTTATTTTCATCCTTTTGTACCAAAATGATGCCAAGTTCAACACCTGATGCATCCATGTGTAGGTAAAATAGCTTGTCGAAGTTAGGATACCTCAGAATTGGGGCTGTAAAAAGATGATTTTTTAGCATTTGGAAGGCTTATTCTTGTTCTGAGCCCTATCTAAATGGAGTGTTCTTTTCCAAAAGCTTGTGTAGAGGTTTTGCTATTGAAGCAAAGCCTTGGATGAATCGTTGGTAATAAGAGATAAGGCCAATGAAGCCTCTTAGCTGCTTTAGAAAAAGTCTCTAACTTTATCAATTTTTTCCTTGTCTGGTTTGATGCCATCCTTGCCTACTATGTGATCTAGAAATTTAATATAGTTTCTAAGCAATACACATTTGTCTGGGTACAATTTTAGCCTGACTGCTTCTATCCTAGCTAAGACCTTTGTGAGGTGGGTTAGGTGTTCCTGGTAGTGTTTAGAGTAGATGCTATGTTATCTAAATAAACAGCCACAAATTGGCCAATATATTCCTGGAGAATATTATTCATAGTCCTTTGAAATGTTGCAGGAGTATTACATAACCCAAAGGGCATAACTCTAAAGGCATAGGTGCTCTGTTTCATGATAAAAACAGTCTTTTCTTGGTCTTTAGATCTCATACGGATTTGCCAGTATCTACTGGCTAAATCTAATGATGAAAACCACTTGGCCTTTCTGAAAGTTTCCAGGAGATTGTCAATTTGAGGTAATAGGAAAGAGTCTTTTTAGTGACCATATTGAGTTTCCTATAATCGATGTATAGTTGCAACTTGCCATTTTTCTTTGGCACAATCACAACAGGTAAAGCCCATGGGCTTCTGACTTCATAGATTAGCTTGTTTTCTAGCAACTTTCCAATTTCCTTATTCAGGAAGTCTTGAGTGTCAGGTGCAATTCAATAGGCAGATTGTTTGATAAACTTGGCATTGCTAGTGTCTATTTCATGGTGAATATTTTGATACTGGCCTAGTTGGTGCAAGCCTATAACAAGAAGACCTTGAAACCTTCTCAGAATCTATATAGCAGTCTTTTTCTATTCCTTAATTAGTTCTTTGACTTGGACTAATTTATTTATAGCTTCTTCAGGTGATAGTCCAAGCCTGGTGCTTTCATCCAAGTTTGGAAGTTCTTTCACGGCTGTTAAGTATATTGCAGGGTTATCAATATCCTCAAGAGAGCCATAGGTAAGTTTATCTTCATTATCATCTGTGTAATAACTCTTTACTTCTTCTATATTATCTTTCTCCTTATACTAATCGAAAAAGTCTTTTTCTTCTTCAATGATGACTTTAGGTGGTTCTTCCTTATCTTCTTTGGCCTAGTAAATAGAAACTTCTATGCACTTGCCCAGATATCTAAGAATGAGTTTTTTCTCATCAAAGTATAAGTAAGTACAGACTTTCTGAAACCAGTTCATCACTAGAAGCATCATTTCGTCAAGATTTTTGATTACTTGGAAATCAGTGGGTATTAGGAGGTTTTGGACCACCAACTTTACTCTAGTAAGTTTCCCTAGAGTGCACTCCCAGGACCCGTTAGCCGTAATTATGATGGTGTTCGAAGGTTCGTTTATAGTAAGGTTTAGTTTCTTGGTCAGTTTCATCGAAATGATGCTGACCACAGCTCTGGAGCCAACACTGTCAGGATGGAGTTATTTTGCACCCTCATATAACATTTTGCTACTGTGGTTCATTGTGGTGTTTTGTCATCAATATAATTAGTGGGCTCTATCATAGTCACAATTAGACAACGTAAAGCTTGGGCTAGGTTTTGTTTTTGCTTTGGGACCCGAAGCAATTGAGCGTAAGTAGCATTTGCTCTTTGTCTTTAAAGGTTTGTTGCAATATTGTACGGTGGGGTTAGGTCTACTTGTGAAGGTACTCTCCACCATCTGACTTGATTGTTGGTTTCTGGCAGAGGCTGGGCTGTAGTCTGTATAGGTACTGGAATGATTTCTTCCATGGTGGTGGGTGATGAAGATTGATTTGTTGGATTGGGTTCATGAGCAACCCTTTTTCAGAGTCACTCATCTCATTGAGTTTCATTTTTGGGCCTTTCATGTCATTTAATAGTGTAGGTTTTTCTTTGGGGCTATAATCATAAATGTCACATAAGTTGACATTCCTGGTACATGCTGGAGGCTTTTGGAATTTTACACGTGACTGCCAGAGATTTGAGCATGGTTCAAAAATGCAATTTCAGGCTATGTGGCCTCTTTCTCCACAGTTGTAGCATTCATTACTTTCATTTCAGGTAGGCCGGTATTGGTAGGGCGTCATGGAGACAGTTGGGGGCTAACTTCTACCCTAGCAGCCAAATTGGTGATTAGTTTTTATAATTGGTGGCCATATACTGCATCTTCTGGGTCAAGTTGTAAACAAGTTTTTTTGTGGAATCATCATTGCTTTTACTTTCATAGTAATTTTTAGCTTCTATCTTTCTGGCTTTGGCAACTGTAGCATCCAAAGTTTCTAGTTCGTCAGCAAACATAAAGGCTGCAGTTTTTCTATATAAACCTTCTATAAACATTCGTACTACATATGCAGCAGGTATTTGTCAATCCGGGTCAACTCTTTTCAACAATTTTTGAATTGGAGGTGTATTAATCTACCTTCTCATTTTTTTTTGTTTTAGGGTAGTTAATTCTATTTGCCATTGGTGTTTATGTTCTGGGGTAGCAAAGTACTTTACTAAGGCCTGGATGAAACTATCATCGAGATTGTCCTTATTATCTCAGAAAATAAGGTCTTCTTTCTGGTCATAGTACCAACTTGCTACGATTTCTGCAAAGTGGCCAGATGCAATTCTTATTTTCCTTGCTCTACCCCAATTATTCGCATCTGTTGCTTTTTCAAAGGTTTCAATCTACTTGACTGGATCCTCATCTTCTTCTCCCTTGAAAGTGGTCACTCGCACTTAATTATTCTCGCGAGGATTTGGTGGGACATCATGAACAGTGGTTTTTCTGAAAGCTCTGGCTATTTTTCTCAAAATATCTTAAGCAGAGTTTGGTCTGGCTAGTTGATTCTAATATGCTGGTAGATTATTATGGTTAACAGGTTCTTCATCGATCATTCAGTTGTCCTCAAAATTGTCTAAATCTGACATAATAATGACCTTGATACTATGAAGCAAATTTGCTAGTAGTGGTAGATTTGTATTTGCTTTTTTCTTTTGACAATTGGTGAAGTTTGATCTCACAGTTACCACCAATTGAAATAGTCTGACTGGTTGCTTGAAATCTAAAACTAATCTAAAGCTCCAGGAAACTAATATAATCTACTAATATAATACTCAAAATAGTTGAATAGACGTATAAGGCTCCTAAGACCTTGGATTGAAAAGCTTCGAATAGAGGTGTGTTTGATTTGGTCTGAGTTTCTAAGTCTTTTGGGTCTTGAAATATTGTGTATGACTTTGGAAAGTCTTCTGTATCCTTTTTACTTTTAATGTTCAATTATATTGATATCTCTAACTCTTAATCCTTCTATTTCTTGGCTTTAGAACCTCTTCGATCTTTTTGGTCACGTGTTATATCATTTGGATAGCTGTGATAATCAGAAGTTTAAAGTCTAATTCAGCTTAGATTTACGTCACAGGTAAATCTTGTAGGAATCAGATTTTCAAATAGCCAGTGATGTCACAAGAGGCTGATTTTACGGGAATTTAATTAATCAATACAAAAATAATGCTTGATTACTAATTTGATTGTTTTATGAATTAGTAATAACAATATATCATGAGGAAGGTCAAGTATTTTCTATATAAAGGTATTTAATATGAATTTAGATACTTGTATTTTAATAATCAATTTAGCACTTTAGGTATTATCAGATTACAGGTAATTATGTTTAACGATTTTAGTATAGTGATTTTGGGTTAGAAGGAAGAAGTATTTTTCGGAAAACAACTTCTACTATAAGGACTTTGAAGTTAAAAAGTTATAAAACTCTGTAGAGTTCTTTTTTATTT